ATATATATATATATATATAAAACATAAAAAGACCAAAGTGTCGGACTGAAAATCCGGGATAGAAGAAGAAAAAAAAAATACTTTGTATGTTTATTTATAAAACAGAATTTTGGGTTTTTTTTAATTGTCAAAATGAGAAGTGAAGTTGAAGATAAAAAAATGAATAAATAAATAAGATAATTTTTAAAAGTAGAAAGCATAGACCAGGGAACAGTAACCGGTACAATTGTAATTTCACTGTTCCGTGGTACAGACATACATTAAAAACAGAAACAAAATCATGAAGACAATAGACCAAATTAGTCACCAATGATGACGTCATCAAAATTTGGCCGATTGGGTATTAAACGTTGTTTATATCGTAAGGTCCTATGCTACATTAAGCGGAGTCGAAAGTGGTGTCTATCAAATCGTCTAAAACGTAATGAGGTTAAAACTGCCACCTAGCTATTTGTTTTGATGGTAATAGGCCTACGCACTATAACGGCTTTGGTTCGGTGACTAATTCTGTCTTTTACGAATTTAAAAAAGTAAACATGAAAAAAAACTCGGACGTCGGTGAGACTTAAACTATGGCTGCATTTCTATAGTTCTTAACATTACTGTAAAGAACCCGACTCTATAGCGATAAGTGCCTTTTAGTTTGCCTACCTTGAGTAATTTTATAAATCAAGGGTGGAACATGTATTTCTTTCCTGGTAATTTTGTGTCTAACATTAATGTAGCTATTTTGAAACGCTTTAGGAAACTTAAAGTGCATAACATAAACATTTCATTACCAATTAAATAATATTCAAAATATGTGAAAAGACGTCATGTTTTCAAATCTTCAAATCTGATATTATGGGCTTGCTTTTTTTGGCTAACACAGTAGAACCAAAAATTAGAACAAAAATGGCTTTTCAGATAACGCAAGAAAAGCCAAAAGCCAAAACTCAGAAAGAAAACAATAGCTTTTCCGCTGACGCAGGAATTGTCGAGAATCATAAGAAGAGCAATGGATATTTTGCTAGTGCGCGAAAAGCCAAATAACTAAAACAGTGGCCTTTCAGCCAAGGAAAAGGCGGTTATATGATAGATATAACTATAGTTTGTGATTATTATTATTATTATTATTATTATTATTATTATTATTATTATTATTATTATTATTATTATTTATTTATTTATTTATTTGCCTTAATTATCACCAGCATCATTACCACTACCATTATCACAATCTTTAGTATCGTCATCGTCAACTGTTGTCGTTATCATTGTTATATCTTTTGACATTACTCTATATCGCTGTCATTGCTATCACCACCACCACCACAAATTTTAAATTTACCTCTTTCCTCTTTTAAACAGCACGACAATGATGATTACCAGGAGGATAATAATTAAAGCAACGGCACCGGACGCACCACCGATGATAACAGTAGAAGCAATTGCTAAAGTATGAAATTTAGACAAAGCATTTTAATTTTTTTTAAATATTCAGCAACGAATATACACTAAACACTCGCTTTGAAAACGAGGACTAAAAAAAGTACATACTAAAATGTTGGATCATTATACGAAATTATTCAGCCTTATATTCTAGGTCCTTATTAATTTGTATTACCTTATTTATTCTGTACCGTACTCGGGCGAATAAGCGCCCGAGCGCTTAACATTTTTTTTTTTGCACTTTTGGAGCGCATATTCAAACTGAACGCTTCAATTTCAATTTTATTCAAAGCTACAAATGCCACCAAGGGCCAATATCCACAAAATTACATAGCACAAAAGTAAACAAACATACTTTAAGCCTATAAAAAAAAAACATGGGAATTATTTACTAGTGACTGAGGAGGGCGGATTTCAGGAAAAATCGAAAAAGGGTGTCCAAAATTTTATTGTGGAAATATAATTTAAGGCTTAAGTAGGGAAGGGTCAATTGAAAGGGAATGTGACAATGAAAGTGAGTAGGGGAGAAAAGAGGAAGAAAACATGAATTATGTGTTGGAATGGGCAGGAAAGCATTGTGTCGTGAACGTTGGAGAGAAGAGGGACACTGACGGCAAGGGGGGGGGGGGGAGTGTGGAGAAAAGGAAAAAGACGGTAGTTTTCATCTTGAACCATTCTACAAAGGTTGTGCAATACATGATATTTAAGAGTGAACTGGAGAATAGGGATGTTGTGTTGCTCACAGATAAAAGGGTAAGTAAAGTAAATAAAATCAGCAGACCAGAGTTGAGAGAAAAGGTATTCAACTAAGTTAAAGAAATTCACAATGAAGAAAACTACCATAGACGCAGCAAGCGTATTCCATAATAGAAAATATGCGGGATTTGTAAAGAATAGAAAGAGTTTCGGGGCAAAGATTTTTAATATAGAGAGTTTTGAATTTTTACATTTATGAGGGACAAATATCATACCGTTGTCAATGGACCAACGCTCAATTAAGGAGCATATAGAGGGTAATGAGTAAAGGTTTGTATTTTTGAAGGAGCTTATTATGATTAGGCCTATATCATTGGCGTAAAGATAAAAGGGACTTCAAATGAGGTTAAAAAATATCGTTAATAATAATAATAATAATAATAATAATAATAATAATAATAATAATAATAATAATAATAATAATAATAATAATTGTCAATTTGTCCTTTATATAGCGTAGTGGAGAATGTGAAAAAGTGCATTTTGAGAAAAACGAATTTAAAGAATTTTCTTCTTTTTTATGAAATTGCCAAAATTTCTCTATGATTATAGTACATTGCCTCCTAATACTGTGTATAAAATATATGAGCATAATAACGATTGGTTAATTAGCAATTCATCATTAAACTTATTCGTCACTTTGTAAAAAAATAATTAACGTATAAATTGTAGTAATTTAACATTCACCACACATTCGACACTTTGAGAAAAAAAAAATCAAACCAACTGACATTCGCCACTGTAAATTCAAGCCTGTAGGCAGGATTTTTGATGTGAAGCGTTCGGTGCGTATTACCGAGCGAATTGAGACCTTAGGTCAAAGGACCTGGGCCATCCTGGGATCCCTAGGGTTGCAGGGGCAGAACTGCGGTGGGATGTTAGGGAAAAGCTCTCTAAAGCGCCGATAAATTAGCATTTTGAGTGGATTTCCTATCGATATAAATCAAAACGGTACTGGGTTTGGTGTCCAGAGTTTGCACCAGTGCGGGCCAGGGTAGGGGAGAGCTGCCACCCACCCCCACCCCCGTTGGGGATAAAAACCACATTTCGTCGGGGAGAAAAAAAAAATATAGGCCTATGTATTTTCTACATATTAGTAGACTCTAAAATCGATTAATTAAGCCTTTAAAACCCCCTAAATCTTCAAAATTTTCGGGGGTTTCGCCCCCTAGACCACTTTATAGGCATTTTAAGCGAGGTTCGGCCACGCCCACTTTGCTGTTGTCGAGAAAATCGGCCCCCTCGTTGAGGCATCGCCCCCTCGGGGACCTCCAACCCCCGGTCTGGTAAATTCTGGCGCCACCACTGGTTTGGTCTACAGGAGCTCATGCTTCGTACAGGTCATTCCATTTATAGAAACAGCCTTTATGGTAAAAGCGTAGGCCAACTTGTCGTTAGCCATAGTAGCCTAGGTCAATACATAACACCGGCTGTATAAAATTAGTTATGAGATTGAAAATATTAATCTTATTATTGCAGTGAATATTATGTCCACGTTTAAATTATTGTTTTACTTAGTTAATGTATATTATATATAATTTAAAATGTATTATTATATTTATATTATAAAATATTTTAAAAATAAGAATACTATGTTTACGTCTTAAATAAAACTATCTATTGGTTGTATATGGAATATAACAAAATATGAATGTTTTATTTGTAAAACATTTTAAATGTGAAATAAATGATCATATAGTATATGTATTGGTCGGGTTTAGAGGAAATGATAAAGCAAGTATACTGTTAGTGTTAAGAATATTTTTATATAATAAAGGATACAGGGAGAAGAAGAAAAGCAAAAGGATCCGGAGCGGTTCAGAATTGTACCAAAAATTATATAATAATGATAATGGCTCATTATTATACGAGTTGTATTAAATGTATCTGCGTAAGCGTAAAAAACTTCTTAAATATACAAAGTCAGAATGCGTGAGTGTGCGCTGAATAGTAAATGTACCTTATCTCAAAAAGTGCGTTATATTATACGGAAATAATACGGAAAATACGGAAACAAATCGTTTTATGTTAAATCCTCAGTATTCAAAAATAAAAATAACAGTAACAATAATGATTAAAATGATTCATAATGATTTATGGAAATAAATTAATTTTGAATGTAATTTAGAACTAGCACAAAGGATTTCTTTAAGATTCTTATTATAATTAATGTATTTAATAGTATAGGTAATGTTTTAAAATATGACCTGTACGAAGCATACGCTCCTGTAGACCAAACTTGACCAAACTCAGTACCGTTTCGATTTAAATCGTACGGGAAATCAAAGAGTACAAATAGAACAAGAGAGCGTACTCCCGTTTTTGAAAACGTCACGCCAGCGTAGGACGCCCACTGACGGTTGTATGTACTTTTTATTACCCAGTGCAGCGCAGTAGAAGTACGCCAGCTATGAACTCAGTAAGCATAAAACAAAGATCTTATAAACACAAGATAGCGTTCTCCGCGATTTATGCGTAACAAATAGAAGCGTCGGTCAAGGTTCAAAAGTTTCCAATTTAGCAAGAGGGCGCCATTCATGCGCTATTATGCCAAAGAGCTATTATGCCAAAGAGAAAAGGTAATCAGTTTTGGAAGAGGGCGTCCTATCTGTTGCCATGGATCTGAGATGGTTCCTGTTCTGCTGTTCACAGGATTGATACCCTAAAGGTAAAGGCGCGCGGTGTACGGTATGGTCAGAGCGGTCAAGGGTCAAAAGTTTCCAATTTAGCAAGAGGGCGCCATTCATGCCTTATTGCAGAATTGGAACGCGTAAATCGCGGAGAACGCGATCTTGTGTTTATACGATCTTTGGCATAAAACAAAAGTACTGTGTCTTGTGGAGAACAGATAAACAGACAAACAAACAGACCGTGCGCGGTGGAGTACTGGGTAATAAACATAGAGCTATTAAACAACTAGAGTGCTGACAAAATGGCGCAGCAATGCAATAACACATTATGTATGTGTACCATCCAAGATGGCCGTCGTAGTAAAGCGCCACCTTCAGGCTTAGTATACATATTACTACATATTAATAAGCCCTCTGACTGACTATTTCATTAATGATAATGAGTAATGGTAATAACAAATTATTAAACTATTGTAGCCAAAACGAGGCCAAGTGGAGCATCTTATTCAAAAATAAAGTACCAAGGAATGAAAATTAAAAAAGTGTACATTACACCCAAACACCACAACGCTCGAGTTTCAAACATACGGGTAACTAGCTGTACTGAACTTGCCGAGTAAATTGAGGGCGCAAATGCAAACGATGGTGCTTAGCGAAATTTGATTGGCTAAATCTATGGCAGCCATCTTGGATGGTACACACACACAGTTCTGCGTATTTCGAACATCGAATACATTGCGGTTAGCGCTTTAGTATTCTTGTTATATCTCTATGGTAATAAAAAGTACATAGAAGCGTTAGTTGGCGTCCTACACTAGCTGCGTATGGCGTATCGTTTTTTACGCTCTCAATGAGGGTAGTTGGCTCTCTTGTTCTATTTACACTCTTTGGGGAAATCCACTTATGAAGATACTCTCATTTTATGCTTGCATGCACTGCCGTTTAAGGAGAAAGCCCTACGCGAGATATGCGTAGTGCGTTAAAAATGATACATTCGCCGGTTTGTAGTAAACAAATCGATTGATATTCGTCAGTTTGCTAAATAATATTCTTCCTTATTTACTTATCTAATTACCTAAATTTTTTTTCAGAGATTCTACACAGTAAGGCAACTTAAATTCACAAATAAAAAAAATCGATTTTTCCAGATTCGCCACTACGTTATATAGGGGACGAATTTGCATAATGTAAAATACCTGTATGTGCTTTACAGCATAGTGCGGTAAAAATTATTAAAAGTTTCACTTAACAAAAATAATGAGTAAAAATAATGAATAAAAACAATAAAAAATAGATATTATGTTAATAAATAAATCATTAATAAAACAAAGAAATAAAGTGGGAGCTAATTTGCTACCTTGTACCATGGAGGTATTATTGAGAAGGAGATCACTCGGCAACAGATCCCTTCGACGCGACAAACCCATGTGTTCCCCACTTTTGCATCGCGCGCTGGCATATTACCCTATAATTCACATTTTTTCGTTAGCAACAACTTGGCAGCGACATGCATTTATACGCTTCCAGCAGAGCAGTTGTGCAATAAAGCGTTTGATTTTAACCCATTAAATATCTTTATAATGAACAGTGTTCCCCTGATTAGATTTTTTCGGACTTTTGGTATGTTATTATTTGTATATTTCAGGAACGGATTCGGTAAAATATTTCTGGTAAAATTACTTCTGTGTTCATTATAATTTTGTCTAAAAATTGATTAGTTCGACTATAGAGCTAAGTCAGCGTAAAACTGAAAAATACTCAGATTTTGGATTGATTTTTCGAATAGTTAACCCTCGTTAACCCTAGAATGACTTAGTTTATTATAATCCTCAATCATTTAATTATTAATATCTGTTAAAATTAGAATTAGCGAATTTTGGCCAATTTATGGAAATTGAAGTTGAAATATACTATACTTTTAAAGATCATGTAAATGCTCCATTAAATTCGAAACTTTTTTTGGTGAAAAATATTAATATGTTTGACATTTTATGAGAGATAAATGTATCAGCTTCAAAATGGAAGCGATTGCGCAGCCATAATGATTGACTGTATTTAGTGTGCATCAAGAAAAGAAGGTGCTCTCCATTTCGCCATGTTCAATTTTTTTGGTAAACTATGCCTGCTGAAAATTTGATGGCGGGGAACACATGGGACTTCAAAGGCATCGCGCAAACGTTCTTCACGCGCTGCGGCAGCTTTGATCTTGGTTCATTTGCATAGCGCTGCGTCCGCGTAGCTTTTTCGAGTGATCTCCTTCTCAATAATACCTCCATGCTTGTACTACCTTGTACAATGCCGCTAGTAATCGGAAGGGGTAACGAATTCCATTAAACATGGGTACGATTGGATAGCCCATTTTGCAATCCAGTTGAAAACTGTGGGATGCAAATAAAAAATGTGGGACGCTTTGAAAAAGAGGAGTTGGTTATGGACAGAATCAAATGCACGTTTGATATCTAGGTAGAGGACACAAGAATGAATAAATAGTCTATAATTCTACAACACCGTACCTTGTGTCTCTGTTTCCACTTCCGTGATCATGCGTTCTGTCGACAAAAACAATATTCAATTTATTATTAGTTATAGATAAATGCTACAAATATTATATATATACATATATATACACGTATATACACATATATATACATATATATATATATACATAATTATATATATACACATACATATATGTATATATATATATATATATATATATATATTAATGTGTACTAAGTTTAATTTTATTGTCATATACTTCTCAACCATCGAATCCATAATTATATTCATTTCAGATTATCATATTGAAAATCCTATTTAAATCACTCACCTGTGATTTGCACATGCTTTTTTGTAGATAAAGGTGACTTGGTGGTTATTGTTGGTGTTGTAGTTACTGACAAGGAAGGAATGATCAGTTACCAAGTATTTCATAAATTGTGTTTGACTATCATAAATAATTTATTAACACATCAGCCAATAGCAAATAGTAGTGTATATATATATATATATATATATATATATATATATATATATTGCAATAACTAGTATTCCAACAGACATTCCATATTCCCTCAATAAAGATTTCGTGGAAACTTTCTTGTTCCTTTTTGTGTTATTTTTTAATCATTCAATCACATTTTGAAAGTCAAGTACAGTAAAATAAATGACAAAATGTCATATTCTGATTATAAAATTTTAGATTAAATTTTCTCTATTATATCCTTTTAAATATTCTGATTTGTATATCAAATTATGGTAGCAACAGTGCTCGAACAAAGAAGTGTCCTGGTCCCTGTTGCTAAGTTGTTTGACATTCGCCGTGACAGCCAGAGATCGCGGATTCAATTTCCTCTCGGGGCACTTTTTCAAAAAAGTTATGGAAATTTTTTGTTGATAGGCTATGCCCAATACGATCTATAGGGCTACATCATAGCTTCTTTATTCTAACGCTGTTTCTATCATAATTTCATCATTGTGTATTTACTACAATTTCATATATTTATATGTATACGGTGAGTGTGTATAATTTAATAATAATAATAATAATAATAATAATAATAATAATAATAATAATAATAATAATTATAATAATATTTATTTGGAAAAACGCTTTTTTTAAAGTGGCACACATCACATCAATGGTGCATCCAAAATAAAACCATAACAATCAAAATCATTAAACTAACAAAATAAAAATAACACATACAAAAAGGAATGATTAGAGAGAATATGGAACACTCTCTCTGCTGTTCAGACTTACAAGTAAAACGAAATTTTAAATACAGGGTAGCCATTCTCAGGACAAGAATTAACTTAACCAAGGAGGTATGTGTGTGTATGGTGCATGTATGCACGTACACCCACCCACACACACACACACACACACACACACACACCCACACACACATACATATAAATTGACACATACATACACACATACAGTACATATACAGTATACCTCCTTCACTTATATAATAAAAATAAAAAGTCATTTGAGAATTTTAAAATAGATATTTCGTGATATGTATTATATACAGTCAAATGAAACAATGAATATTTAAATCGCATGCGTATTTGATTATAGGCCTAACTATGTAAGTTGTTATAATAGTATAACTGTATGGCAACATACTTGCAGGTATAGGCTGGGTGGATTGATCAAAAGTGTCGATGGCATAGACAGTAGTATTTATATGTATGCTACCATCAGCTTCACCGCTCTTCTTGTGTATTGCTTCAATGAAACCTTCTTGTTGCCCATACAATTCTGCTAATATTATAAAGTCCTAGAAATATGTAGGTTCAGTTTCATTATGAAAAATAGGTCTGCGTGAATTGAAATTCTAAATTGTTAAGGTTTAATAAAATGTATAAGTTGTTTTGATTCCGATCCGAGGAACTGTCTCATCACTTGGAAACTGTATTACCCATATTATTATTATAACAATTATTAATATTAATGTTGTTACGATTAGTATAGTTAGCATTGGGATAATCACCATCAGAAGGACCCCATTGGAGATAATTTTTCTTCCAGACTGATGTGGGCTATCCTTGGTGTTTACACCGAATAAATCCAATCCAACTGCTATTTGTTAATAGGCCTATTGTAACAATAATATTAACAACGATGATGATGGTGATAGACGATAATGATAGTAATAATAATAATAATAAGCAATAACAATAATATTAGTAATAATACTTTCTGGTTGTTGCAGCAGTGGCCAAAGCAGTGGGAGTTAAAAGGTTATTAAATTAAAAAGCATATTAATTACCTGAAAAAGAGTGATGTCACTAGCATAGTAAGTACTTTCGCCAATAATGCTATTCTGTTCTGTACCGTCATAGTCAGTAGCGTAAATAAATTTTTTATCTTCACCAACTATATAAATTCTTAATGAAAAAAAAAACCAATTAAAAATCTGTGAAACGTATTACAACTAATTTCTTGTACACATTTACTAACTAAGAGCAAACTATTACAATAATATCTAATTTTCAAGGTATTTTCTCCTCTACTTTCTTTTCAAATTATTCTAAGGATGTTTCCTGTAATGTTTAATTTGGGTTTTTTTTTATATATAAAAAGGAAGTTCGGGTTTTTAAAAATATTTATATTATTACTATTTTCATAATTCGAATTTCAACGTCATTCTTTTTTGTGTTCTTGTACTTAAAAAACATAGGTTTTATTTTTAAACATAATGACACTTAAAATATTATTATCAGTTAGATTTACCAGTATATTACCTCCTTTGGGTGTGATCAAGCGCAATTCCTGATGGATTTTGCAGGCTTATATCTATAACATCATGGCGATTTGTACCATCCAGATTACTGCTCACAACCTTTGCCGGTGTAGTTTGTTCTGTCCAAAATATCAGCCTAATTGAAGTGTATGGTAAACAACCTACATTATTATCGCATTAAATCCTACAATACATATTCTGTAATGTAAGACCTATTTAAAATTTAATGCTTAAGAGACATTTGATGTTTAAATTCTAGAAGAAAAAAAATTTAGAATGAATATAAAAAAACATTGGAATCATTAGGTTCTGAAACAAAAAGACCTCAAAACCAGGAACAACTACAAGTCACTAATAATATGTAAAATATTATATAATAAATATGACTTGCATGTGATTTAAAAAAAAACAATTGCAAATACTTGTACAACACTTTCCCATTTACATAACATTACAAGAAGCCGTAGTGTTGGTAGAGAAGCCTGTATAGCTATGATAATTAGGTTTACTTATTAACTTTATTTGTCAGCATTCATTCGTTTAATATAAAGTTTATTGTATAGGCCCTATAGTTAAGATACTTTACTATTTGTTATTATTGTGTAGTCTGTAAGACATTATATGTGCACCACAATCTTTAAGTGCCAACAATAGAACGGTATAGTGTCACCAAATTAATAAATGAATTATTTATAATTAAAATTACCTGAAGATCGGGTCCACTGCTATAGCCCGTGGATTAATGACGTTATAAAACATCACCGATGACGACGTTCCGTCGTAGGCTGCAATCATTAAACGATTCTTGTCGTAATCAACCCAGTAAACGTTAAACGAAATCCAGTCAACTGCTATACCTAGTGTAGACCATAATATTGTCATCAAATAGGCATGTACAAAACATCCAAAAATTTTAATACAACAATTATATATAACTGTCTAGAATTGGTATTGTTCATAGAACTTTGTGTAAATTATTTATGTTAATCCATTCATTCATTCTTTACTTAACCTTTCATAAAAGTCACAATACAATTGGTACTTAACATAAAATACTGCTAATTTGTCAAAATAAGTTACAAAAAAAATTGTAAATATAAGGAGGTAAAGATTAACATGCTTTGACTAGCACGTTTGTTAATCCACCCTTGAAAACATAGGCATATATAATTATAAATATATAATAATAATATAAAGAAATATAGTCAATATACCAAATAAATATACTAAAAAAATAATTGGAAGCACATAAAGTTTTAACATATTGAAATATTTAGGTTCAACATTATAAGAAAAAAGAAATAAAAAGTAAGATTTAAAAAATTAAAAAAAGATATAAATGCACAAAAAACGATTAACTGTCTACCACCAGTGGTTGTGGAAATATAAGGACCATATGGCATGACCTTGAAACATGTCAAAGGTCAGAAACGGCATTCCTGTCATTTTTTAGTAAAATGTTTATTAGAGCAAATAGAAATATGTATGCTCCGTACAATTTGAGATAATAATGACTCAATGGCTATCATATATGAAATATGTCAAAGGTCAGAAATGGCATTTCCAGTCATTTTTTAGCAAACTTATTTATTAGACCAAATAGAAACATGAATGTTCCAAACAAATTGACACCAAAAATTAACTCTCTACCACCAGTGGTTGCGGAGATAATCACGACTCAATGGCTATCTTATATAAAATATGTCAAAGGTCAAAAATGGCATTTCCGGTAATATTTATCAAACTCTTTTATTAGACCAAATAGAAACATGAATGTTCCGAACAAATTGACACTAAAATTAACTCTCTACCGCCATTGGTTGCGGAAATATAAGAACAATATGGCTATGACCTTGAAGAAAATAGAAATATGCATGTTCCGAACAATTTGGCACCAAATTCAACTCTCTACCACCTGTGTTTGCGGAGATACAATGACCTTATAGCTTTGACATTTGACCATGACCTTTTGACCTTTCGCCAGATTTAAAAATATGTTAAAAAAAGAAAAAATGATTCTTGGACCACCATGAACCGAATTTCTGAAGTCAAATTCTTTGCACCTCAAATTGCATACAAAACCTGGTCTGGCTCCTAGGGTAGGTATCTTCTTGACTTCCTTGGGGACTTACATTGAGGACGAAAAGTCAGAGGACCAAAGTAAGTAAGTAATTCGACATCGAATCCTGAACTTGCGTGATTTCCAACATTTGTTTTTATATCAAGAGAGTAGAATAGTTGGCTTATTTCAAATCTATCAATTGTCAGTGATTATTATACTTTTTTCAAAATGTCAGTAATTATTTTACACTATTACCAATTTTTATTGTATTAGATATAACAATGTAATTCGTGTTTTTAGGTAAGAAACATATTAATAGCCCTATTCCAATAGGGCCTATTGATGAAAGATCACATACTTTTTTCAGACTACTGAGTCTGAGCTGGATCGGCACGCACTGGGTAGGCCTCACCATTTGTCAATTATTCTTACCTATCATTGCATTTACAATTTAAATTGTATTATTGTCATAGAACTAAGCATCTACCCTGTGATTAAATATTACAGAGGCTACTTTCTAACAATTTCAGTTTTACTTCCGTGTTTACATTCTGGGGACGTGACGTACGAACTTGCGTACTTGTTGTGCGTGTTGCGTAACATGGTACGCGCAGATTGCTGAAGGTATGTTAACCAATCAAAAGCGTCAGCGGCAAATCAAATTTAAGTGCTTCGTAACCAAGACACAGCATACACATCGTAGACAGGGCGTAACAGCCCAGTTAAATAGTTCAGTTGGTAAATGTCAGATATCGCAAGTGTAAGCTATACCAAAGTAAGGCATGATGTTGACTGTGGGTCAGATCCTTACCCAATTGTCATATCAACTAACACCAAACTTAAGGATGTGACTGAAAAACGGAAAGCAATTAAATGAAATCTAGATAAGATCAGGACAGAAAGAGAAAAATTTAGAGTAACAAATGAAGAGAAAATAAAGTCAATGGAAAAAGTTCCCAGCATCACAAACAACAAAGCAGTTGTGGAATGTATTAAAGAACAAGATTCTGGAAGTAGCAGAAAATGTATGCGGGAAGAAAATTCCTGAGAAAAATCCATCAATGAGTGACTGCTGCAATTATGAAGGAGATGGAGTACAAAAATCTAAATCAAATATTTAGAGAGAATGTAGTAAGGCAAAGGAAAAGTAGCCTATTATGAGCAGCTATGTGAGGACTTAGACATCCTTGACAGATTAAAGAGTGTCAAACTTCATCAGAAGATAAAAACATTTGAACAGAGAAAACCTCAGAGTCAGTCAGTAATTCAATTGAGAGAGGGGGTACTCTTCCAACAATAAAGAAGACATCGTAAATAGATAGGAGGCGTACATAACTTCATAAACCACTTCCAAACTGCGTCAGGCGAAAACAACTTACCAGCTGACTTCTTGAAAAAACTTGGAAAAAATGGCATACATTAGTTGACCAGACTAATCAACATTAAAACAGTACAGGTGCCTCACCTAATGACTTAATGGTCAGCAACTACATCACAATACCAATAGTATAAAAGGTTTCCAAATGCAGCAATTTTCACACCATTAGTCAAATACCCAATGCCTCTAAAATTCTACTGAAGATTATCCTTACTCGTATCAATCTTATAATTGAGAGTCATCCGAGTGAGACCCAGCTAAGAATCAGAAAAAGGAAAGGATACCAGAGGCGGAATCTTCATGTTGAGAACCCTTTATGAAAGAAAGATCGAGGAGCAGCAAAATCTCTTTCTGTGTTATACAGACTACACCAAGGCATTCTACAGGGTAAAACATCAAAAACTGCTAGAAGTCATGGAAAATGTGGGTGTTTCTGGGCATAAGAGGAAATTTGTTGCAAGTTTATATTGGAAAGACGGCCACGGTTAGAACTAAAACAGGATGTACAAGTATAGTGAGCATTCAAAGAAGTGTAAGACAGGGGTACATTCTTTCACCAGCACTATTCAAACTATACGGTGAATTATTGCCAAAATCAAGCATTGATAAAATGTGAAGGTGTAAAATTGAATTGAATTAATTTAACATCCGGTATGCAGATGACACAGTACATATTACTAACAATGATCAGTCTCTCCAAAATATAAATTGGTCTCTCTCTCTCTCTCTCTCTCTCTCTCTCTCTCTCTCTCTCTCTGAAAGGAGTGTGGAATGGGGCTGTGCAAGAAGGATTAAGACAATGTGCATTAGTAAATCTACTCCAGACAGATTTGTAGTACAGGCAAAAGGAAAAGACTTGGAACAAGTTTAGGAGTATCAGTATCTAGGAAGTATGATGACAGAAGGTGGAAAGGTCGAGGTTGAAGTTAAAAAAAGAAAAGGATTGAAAAACTTAAGCTAAGTCCATCCTGGGATTGCAAAGAATTTCTAAGAAGGGACTTCAACTTAGAGTTGAAGACTAAAGTCCTGAGATGCTATGTGTTTTCTGTAGTTGTCTTAGGAGAATATTGAGAATCAGTTGGGAAGAGAGAACATTTGACATCGCTGTGGCACAAGAACTGGAATGTAGAATATGCAACGTAAAATACGCTATGCAGGTCATATTCGCCGAGGCAGTGCAGCGCAACCAAGCAAGCACACTCTTACAAGGCACAATTAAGGGCTCGAGAGCAAGAGGAAGACAGAGAATTAAAGTGAGTGATAACATCAAGAGATGGTGTTGAACCACATCTTACATGGAGGCGAAGAAAGTAGCAGAAAATCGTGTTAAATGGATAGAACATGGTGGCCAACCTTCGTATCGAAGATGGCACATGGTGGTGGTGATGATGATGGTGATGATGATGATGATGATGATGATGATGACGAGTGTTAGGCATGTAAGACATTAATTAGAATATACAAAATAATATTTACCATCAACGCGTCCAATACTTGACTCAATAACTATTGGATATTGCCCACTTTCCAGTCTTATAACATATATATTTTTACGTGTATCAGAAGCATAAAACAATATATGGCTGCGTATATCAACTGCCACTGCTGTTACATTTCCATAATATTTGCCAAGCATATCAGAAATGTATTGCTGTTTATCATCTAGACCATAATGGAGAAGAGTTGGGTGAAATCTGGAAACGCCGTTCATCCTTCCAATTACGCAGTATGGTGGGTGATATAAGGATAAATCTGAAAAAAAAGCATAAGCTTTAATATTGCAACGGCCAAACTTTTGGAACAGAAGGTGGTATATTGATTTGTATGACAGATCAGGAACGAGTGCGTAAACTGCCCTTAATATTTCAATTCATGTGTGTAATAATAACAACAATGGTAGTTGCTAAATACGACCACTTCAGCTAAGGGGGAATGACTTCTTAAGGGGACGTCATGCATAATTTCAGTTGTCTACGTCTTCATTCCTAATCTCGACAAAAGATCGAGCTCTGGTAATCACACGGTATAGCAAAATACAGTACCGTACAACCAAAGTAAGAAAAATAAGTTGTCCCTGTGTGGGTTTTCCCCCGAAATTATGATCCCTGGAATATTATCAATTTTATGGGGCCTGCATAGGATGAAATGATACATATAGCAGCTGGTCTTATTTTAGGGGTAGGGATAAGGCCGTGATCATAGAAATAAATTAAAACAAATTTACTAAACTATAATACTACTTAATACCACCATACTTAGTCTATGAATTTTTCCATTTTTAATCCGATGAACAATTAATCTTACTGGAGGATATAATAGGCCTAATAAATAATAACTTTTACAACATGATTGCTGAAGATTAGATTTTATTTTTATTGTTTTAATGCTTTTATACAAAATTGCCATGGCTATGCCTATATTCCAAATATGCTTAAACATACAAAAAAAATCAGTGCGCAGTTGAATTAAAATTATTCTTCATAGTGTTTGTTTAATTATTAAACTGTTAATTAAATATCAGGTAAAGTCGTGCTCTCAGATTTCTTTACCTCCATATAATAGAACACTTTGTAATTCTTAAGTGAAGGGAGCCTTCTAACGGGCCTCTTTAAATCTAATATTGTTTATCATCAAGCGTGTTCAACGGGAGGAATTAGAAACAGGCTAAGCTCCTAGGATTAGCTGATGGCGCTGGCCTAGGCCTAATAAAACGATATTTCGCATTATTTAAATAGTTAATTTTTATTGGCTCCTTTCCATACAAAACTACCTATGAAAGATAATGCAGTGTATACTGAAAATTTGATCACAGTATTTAGTGAGAGCACCCAATGAAGCAAAATAATTCAATTACAAAAATACTGTACAAGTCAATCTATTGTATACCGTGAGATCTATGTATACATATACAATGCATCTAATGCTTATTAATGTAGTTATGCCTTATTTGGTGGATAGGTCAGAATGACATAGTGTTTGCGAGCTATACAACGCTAGGTAGCATTTTCTATTTTGTGTTTGTGTGTTTGTTTGTGTGTGTGTGTGTTTTTTTTTTTTTTTACCAACGTCAGTATTTTTTGTGGGAAATTGTATTATAGTTTTAATTGGATGGGGTATAAGAAAATATTGTTGGAGACATAATCAACAATGTTTTCGGGAAAGCAAAGTGATGAATAATTTTCTAGAATGAGGATATAAACAATTTCATGTAATAGTAATAAATGCAATCTTAATTGTTCAAATAGTTAACGGCTACATATTTACACATGGGTTATGTGTTACAGTACCGTATTTATTTAAAAATACTAGAGCTCTCATGCATTCTATGTTATATAAACGCAGCGTTGTGTATCGGTAGATTCAGCCAACGAAATTACGCCTATGCATTTTGCTTAATTTTCATATAAAATCTTTGACTAGTAGATCAATTTTTACGCTTTTATATTGTATATTATTTTTTTATATCTTTGTCCTAGCAAGGCTAAGATAAGATTTTATTTTTGTTATTTCAACATAATTAGTATAATTTATAATTGTAATTTGTATACTAGTTCTTAATATTGCACTCTTTCTAACAACGGGCATTTTGGAGAATAACGATACACAATCATACAAAATAATATTTACCATCAACGCGTCCAATACTTGACTCAATAACTATTGGATATTGCCCACTTTCCAGTCTTATAACATTTTCGATACTACATAAGTAAAACATACGAACCAATACTGCATGTTCCATTTGGATTTAAAACATAGTTATCCCTGCAAATACATTCGTGTTTTCCGTCGGCGGCCGATACACAAAAGTGACCACAAGTATGTCCATCACACGGCACTAAAAAGGAAATGGGATACAGGTTAAAAATTAGCAGTTATAACAGAAATTGTTTTTATTTTTAAACAAACGATTATAGGCATACTTACATGTTACTGGCTTCTGCTGGATATTCGGACCCGTGACACACAAGTCGTTTACGAAGAGAGAGTTATCGAAGCTATATTCAAACACCAATTCGCTTGGCGTGGACTTGTTGTAGTAACGAATACTATATTCAGTTCCAACAAACACACTTACAAACATGTAATCCTAAAGGAAGCAAATATTTAATTT